CTCCAGAGTTTGCTAGATGCCATCTATGGGGTCAAATTGTCCCAGATTGAGAACCCCTGGTTTCAGATTGAGAATTTGAATAGTGAAGGGATTCTCTGCTGACATGGTGCTAGAGTTCCAAAAAATGACTGGTTCTGTGGGCCACTCCACTACCTGGTGTCAAGTGTTACATGTACCCCAGAGGGGAGGGTATAGTATAGGATAGTGTTTTCCAAAGCATGTTCCTTGAAGGTTCTAGTCTTGTTAGATTTTCCTGCCTGACTCCCCTAAGACCATCCCTAGAAAAAGTCTGTGGTTAAATAAATTTAAAAATGCTACTCACTTTATCCCTTTTTTGGAGATTCAGAATGCAGGTTAACTGAGAACCCTTTTTTAACTTCTGTAACCCAAAATTTCTCAAACTTAATTTGATCATAGAACCTTCTTCCATGCAATACACACTCAAACACATCATCTATTAATAGCTACATCTTAGGAAAAGTAGTTTAATGATATGATAAGTGAAACTTTATTTTTCCAAAATGAATAGTGAGGTTTCTAATTGTTGTTAATATTCTTGATACATAAAATAATGCTTGAAGAATAATACTTTTAAAATGAGGTCTACATTTTTAAACTTTATTTTTAATAGACGTACTGATTTGATTTGCTAATTAGTTTTTCCGTGATGTAAAATTAAAGCTGTCTCTTTTGCCACCTTTTTAGGATGACAGGTATTTTCTGAGTGGGTCATTGGATGGAAAGCTCCGTCTTTGGAACATACCTGACAAAAAAGTGGCTTTGTGGAATGAAGTAGATGGTCAGACAAAATTGATCACAGCTGCAAATTTCTGTCAGAATGGCAAATATGCAGTGATCGGGACATATGATGGCAGATGTATTTTCTATGATACAGAGGTAAATTATTATGTAAATTATATAATTGTGTACTTAATAAAACACTGGTGGTTTTAGACATGTTGTTTATCAAACCCTGTGGCTTTAACTGCCTTTTCTGTAATTTGGGGTAAATAATAGTGTTTGAAAGATGGATCAGGTGATCTTTGAAGTTTCTTCTAATTCTGATATTAAATGTATGATTTCTTTTTAGCATTTGAAATACCATACACAAATACATGTCAGATCTACTAGAGGACGCAACAAGGTTGGAAGAAAAATTACTGGCATTGAGCCTTTACCTGGAGAAAATAAGGTACTATAGTATTTAAAACCATCTCTCTCCACACTATATGTAGATCTCAAAGTTTGTTCTTAATATCTTGGCAAAAAAATTCATCCCCTTTTTTGTGGAATACTGCTTTTTCTAGTTTTGAGATATATTTGTGTGTGTGTGTGTGTGTGTGTGTGTGTAACACCTCTTTTTGGTTGTAACTTAACTTGGATTAGAAGATGATGTTTTTTAACTTTCCTTTGATTTGTTTTTAGATACTGGTGACCTCAAATGATTCCAGAATCAGATTATATGATCTGAGAGATTTGTCACTGTCCATGAAGTATAAGGGTTATGTTAACAGCAGCAGCCAGATCAAAGCAAGTTTCAGGTAAATTGGCAATGAGAAATTTCCAAAAGAGACCAGAATATTTCTCCTCTACTCCCATTTTTCCATTGATCTATGCCTTATGGGTTTTTTAGTTTCCTTGTACTTTCACATTTGGTATCTCATTTTATCATTATGTAATACCTACCTTGTCCACCTATATGGTAAATAGTATTAGAATTCTCCCTATTCTGCAGATGAAAAAAACCAAGACTCTCAGAACATTAAGTAATTGGCCTAAAGCTGTAGAATTTTTGTGATTGTACTTGTGTTCATGCTTTTAAGAGGGGGCTTCCTGCTCATCCCTCCCCACCTCCATTGTCTTGAACCTTTTAGATACAGAAGCTAAGAAAGCATTTCAACACCCCACAGCACAGTGTCCTGTATTTACCTATCATTATCACTTGAATTCCTAAGTTGGGATATAGAAACTTTCCTCACATAGGGTTAACTGCCTTTCCTTCTTTCTACATCTCTTCCTGCATCTCTTACCATTTCTTCCTTTTTTT